TTTGCACCGGAAGGCTAAGCATTGTCTGAATCTTATTAATAAGAGAATGATGCAGGATAACTAGGACTGATAAGAAATAAATACAATTTGGCTCAATTCCACCACAAGTATCACGTTTTGAGATATTGTTATAAGTGACTTTCAAATTTGTAGAATTCTTTTATAAAGTAAGCTTTTGTTGGAATGTAAAAATGTTTTCCAATTTTGCCAGATTGGAAATGGCAAAAGAGGTTAATTAAAAGTCAACTGAAGACAATTTAGGAACTTTTAGCATAAAATTTCTTGGGCCTCAAACTTGAGTAGCTCAAGCCATAAAATAGCTGTTATGATTTATGCCTTTTTTTTTAAACAACTCTTGTTTCCTTTGTTTTAGAGACCTACAGAGTCCTAAGTATTTGATAACCATGTTCCTATATAGTTGTTTTAGTTTTGGGGACCCACACTGGTGGTACATGAGGCTTACTTCCAGCTCCATGCTTAGGAATTTCTCCTTTGAATGGGGAACTTGGGGGACCATATGTGGTGCCAAGGATCAAACCAGGATTGGTCACATGCAAGGCAAGCACACTACCTACAATACTATTGTTCCAGTTCCCATATTCCCATATAACCGAATGAATAAGTTTTAATGTTCAGAGACCTGGGTGCCTGGTTTGGATTTTCCTTCTACTACCGGCATGTTCCTACATGCTCTCTCCTGTCTATGTCCTCTTCCTGGGTTGTATTACTTAGCCATTCCCTAATACTACTCTCTATTTTTAATTTTGGAAGGGGGTATAGTGACTTCCTACAATGTTCAGGGAACCCCAGAGCTTCTTTCTGCAATATCAGATGAACTAGTTTAATACTAGGGGCCAGGCATGCTGAGGTGCTTGGCCCCACAGTGCTGGGGACCATCACAAACACCTTGATGCTCAAGGGTCTGCAGTGCCACCTGCATGGAGCTGGGGCCTTCCAGGGATACAGCTTGTCGTCTCTATAAAGGGCAGTTTGTGTTTTTGTGTGTGTGTGTGGGCAGGGGGGGGGGAGGTTCCATTCTAAAGCATATAAAGCTTGTGTCCCTACTAGGGAATTATTTCTCTAGCCCTGAGAATTCTATTGGTTCTTCGTGATTCATTTAACTGTTCTACCTTATTTGATGGTAATAGTCTCTCCTTGCCTCAATTTTTGATTATGCCCTTTACATACTCCACTCAGTATTTGGTGAAAAAAATTATTGCATTGTCAATTGTCTTTTGATGCTTCTCTGCTTTATCACTTCTGTTTTAGATTTCCGGGCAACCTATCCATTACCTATAAAACATATCCAATTTGAATCTAGTTATAAAAGGGGAGGTTAAGTATCATATATTGCGCTCATTCCATTTTCCAATGGGAAGTCATCTTTTCCATAAAAAATGGAGGGAATAAGCGTATCTTCAGCTGGAACAAGGAACACGTATAAGGCTTGAGGCCAGTTTGGGCTCTGGAAATTGAGAGAAACAGACAGAGTCATCTGTCACTGTCACTGTCCTCCCATTGCTCATCGATTTGCTCGAGTGGGCCCAGTAACGTCTCCTTTGTGAGACTTGTTGTTACTGTATTTGGCATATCGAATACGTCATGGGTAACTTGCCAGCTTTTGCCCTGAGGGCGAGATACTCTCAGTAGCTTGATGGCTCTCTAAGAGGGGCGGAGGAATCAAACCTGGGCCGACCAGGTCGGCCATGTGCAAGGTAAACACCCTATGCGCTGTGCTATCTCTCCAGCCCAGAGAGAGTCATATCTGGAGTTAAAAGTGATCAGCTACCATTTTACTATAGAGAAGTTAAATCTTTATTAATACTTAAAGGCAACTGAGGATTTATTAACATGAAGGATTTTTGCCTCCTACGTTCAATATGATCCACTGGATATTTCTATAATTCCTCAGATGGCATAAGAAACTGAACCCCAAAGACAAGCTATTCTTCATTTGCTTTTCAAAACTCCCTTGAACCTTAAATACTTTTGTTTTGATTCTTTGAAATCTCTTACCCTTTCAAAACAAAAATGCCAAGGAAGGAGCTAAAGGGAAGAGGGAAACGAGAGAAGGGATTCTGAAAGTAGCATTGGGCAAGAACCACTGGGATAATCTGTGGTGAGGAGGACATGTACAGATATGTCCAAACCAATATAATAAATAACCCTAAAATCTTGGGATCCAAAAACAGTAATTAAAAATATTTTCTTTCAAGTATTCATGTTGAGGGTTGAGAGGGAACTTGGGTTTGTTGGTAGAGGGATGGTGGAATTAGGGATAGGCATTGAATGCCTGAAACCCTTGTTTAAACAACTTTGTAAATCACAGTGTCTAAGTAAAAATTTTACTTAACAAAACAAAATAAAAAATTCTGGTCTCAGACTTTCTCTAGATTAGGTTCCATGTCATTTTCCTATGTTCTATGTACTAAAAATCTTCTTTCCCTTTATTAGGATAACTTCTTTGCTACAGATTTCAAAAGTAATCTTAACCCAAGTTGTTTCCCACATCATCATTATCATCTCTTAAAAGTATCAAGTGTAAGCTTTCCTCATACATCTTCACCAACCCAGGCAAAACTAAGTTTATCCTCTATCTTAGTCACCCTGCACTCACTGTTCTAATGCTCACATACAGTGATTCCTTATTTAATTCTCTCTTTCTTGACAGGGTGTCAATTCAGTGATGGAAGGAGCTAAGCCCATCTTGTTCTGAGATGCTGAATTCCTTTGATCCCGTCCAGTGCCTTGATATAATAGGAACTCAAACTATTGACTGAAAAGAAATGTACACAGACCCAAAAAACTCAATCACTGAAAGTAGATTAATCCAGACAAAACCAGCGTCCTAGCTTTAAGTTGCAACTGTATAAAATGGTTCACAATACTGATGAAATAAACATTTAAAAATTTACTTTTAGCACTGATAACATAGTGAATTTATCAGAAATATATCAGGCTCTTTGGAATTATTTCGTGGATAAATTATGACTATTTTCCACTATAAGGATGAGTTAACTTAAAGATTTCTGTGTTGGAAAGTCCTCAGAGTGGCGTCTAGATTCTCTAGGCCCTGCCTGATGATGACTGCTAACAAATTTTGTGTTTAGAATGGAAACTAACATTTTAGAGCAATGGAATAGAGACAGACCCAGAGACCAGTGGAATAGAGTCGAAAATACTGACACAGACCCTCAAATATATGATCACTTAATCTTTGAAAAAGGTTTAAGAAATGTGAATGGGAGGAAGGAGAGCCTCTTCAATGAGTAGTACTGGGAAAATGGGATATCTACATGCAGAAAAAATGAACTCAAATCTCTGTCTGACACCAGACACAAAAGTCAAATCTCAAAATGGATTAAAAACTTCAATATCAGACCTGAATCCATAGGTAAATGAAAGAAAGCATACGAAGAACCCTTCATGGCACTGAAGCTAAAGGAATCTATAAGATAAAACACCACTGACCAAGTAAGTGGAAGAAAAGATAAACAAATGGGACTACATTAAGCTCAGAAACTTCTGTACCTCAAAAGAAATTATGACCAAGAAATAGAGACAGCCCAGGGAATGGGAAAAAGTATTTACCCAATACCCATCAGGTAAGGAGTTAATATCCAAGGTACATAAAACATGGTAGAAATTTATAAGAAAAAAACTCCAACCCATCAAAAATGGGAAGAAGAAATGAACAGAAACGTTCTCAAAGAAGAAATACAAATGGCCAAAGGCACATAAAAATGCTCTTCATTGCTAATCATCAGGGAGATGCAAATCAAAACAACAATGAGATATTGTTTTATACCACAGATACTGGCACACATCTAAAAGAATAAGAACAACCAGTGCTGGCTCAGATGCTGGGAGAAAGGGGTTCTCATTCATTGTTGGTGGGAAGGTGGCTGGTCCAACCTTTTTGGAAAATGATAAGGACATTTCTCAAAACACTAGAAATTGAGTTTCCATATAACCCAGAAATATCATTTCTGGGAATATAGCCCCGAGGTACAAAAACAGGAGAAATGACATCTGCACTTGTATGTTTATTGCAGCACTGTTAACAATAGCCAGAATCTTCAAACAACCTGAGTGCCTGAGAATAGATGACAGGTTAAAGAAACTATGATATATCTACACAATGGAAAACTAGACAGTTGTTAGGGAAAAAATTAAGTCATAAAATTTGCCCTGAAATGGATGGACATGGAGAGTATCAAGATGAATGAAATAAGCCAGAAAAGGAACAGACATAGAATGACTGCACTTATTTGTGGGACATAAAAAAGCATAGTGCGAGACACCCAAGGACAGTAGAAACAAGGTCCAGGAAGAATGTTCTATGGTTGGAAACTGCCTCAAGGGCTGGTGGAGGGGGCAGTTGGGTTATAGAAGAGACTAGTATGACAATTATGGCTGGAAGGTGTTGCTCTGGATGGGAGATGAGTGCTGAAAGTGGGTAAAGGACCAAACATAATGACCTCTCAGTATCTGATTGCAAACCATAATGCCCAAAATGAGAGAGAAAAACAGAAAGACAGAGACAGACAGAGACAGAGACAGAGAGAGACAGAAAATTACAGAGATAGAGAAAGAGAAAAAGGAAGAGAGAGGAAGAGAGAAGAAAAGTTCCTGCCATAGAGGCAGACTGTGGGCTGGGAACTGGGGGATGCTGGCTGGAGGGATATAAGAGATGTTGGTGGTGGGAAATGTGCACTTGTGGAGAGATGGGTGTTGGAACATTGTATGACTGAAACCTGATCATGAATACAGTTTGTAACTGCATCTCATAATGATTCAATAAAATTAAACAAAAAAGAGTAATGGGGAATAACTATAGTATTCTCTATACTATAACTACATAGTATTCTCAATTAATTGTTAATATTATGAGTCATTAAATAGTTTCATTGTGCGAGGAATCACCCTAAGTGATTTACTTCAGTTAACAGAGATCATCATCCTGATATGGGGTCAGCACTATTATTATCCTAATTTTATTATTCATAGGGGTCTTCAATGATGGTCTGCTTTTGTGGGCCATAGCTTCCAACTAGCTCAATTTTAGCTTTGCAATTTTTAACTTGATTACTTTTTCTATTCAAATCTCTCAGATTGCTTTCATCCACACATAGTATGTAGTCGAATGTGGCAAAATCTTCTTTGGTAATCTGTCGGGCAATGTGATTCATGGGCACGTCATGCTTCTTCACGCAATTCTGCCCCCGATAGTCAGGAGGATTTCCTATTTCATATGTGGAGGTCGCTGCACTGTCTACTCTCCATTTATCTAAAACATTTTGATTGGTAGCAAGTTTTCTGAAAACTGCTTCTGCAATGGGTGATCGACAAATATTACCCAGACACACGAACAGCACGGACTTGGATGCTGGCTCGGCCATGTTCACCGAAACTCTTCAGTGCTACCCTCGAGAACATCATGCGACGATTGGAATGGGAAGGAATGGGAGTGAAGATAGATGGTCGGCAACTACACCACCTCCGTTTTGCTGATGACATTGTTTTAATAACACCAAACATCAGCCAAGCGGCACAAATGCTGGCCGACTTTGACCGTGAGTGTGGAAAGGTAGGACTACAGCTGAATCTTACGAAGACAATGTTTATGAGAAACAGCCTCGTTCCTGACGCCCATTCGCTCTCAATGGAACGACCATCTCCAAATGCAACAGCTATGTGTACCTAGGTTGAGAGGTCAACATGACAAATGACCTGGCACCCGAGCTGTGCAGGAGGAAGAGAGCGGCTTGGAACGCCTTCAAGAACGTCGAAGCAATAGCTAAGAGGACGAAGAACCTCTGGCTCTGTGCACATCTCTTTGATTCCACTGTTCTTCCTGCATTAACATATGCCTCAGAGACCTGGGCCCTACGCAAACAGGATGAGAACACTATTCAGGTCTCCCAAAGAAGAATAGAAAGAGTTATGCTTGGAATATCACGTTTCACTCATTTCATTTTCATTTCATCATCCTGTTAATCGTCGATTGCCTCGAGCAGGCCCCAGTAACGTCTCTTTCATCCTAGCCCTGAGATTATATTCAGGGCTCTTTAGGAGAATGAGACCCATCATTGTTACTGGTATTTGGCATATTTGGTAGGCCACGGGGAGTTTGCCAGACTCTGCCCTGTGGGCAGGCTATATTCGACAGCCTGCAAGTTTGTCCAAAGTAGGAATGAGATAATAAGATGTCGCGCGGCCGCAAATGCGGCCGCGCGGTTCCGGGATCTGGATTTTATAGTCTCTGAGTTTTGGCCGCTGATGGGATTACACGGCGCCAGGGGGCCAGGTGGTGGGTGTGACCCCCGCCTACTGGAATTTGGAGGATCTGGGTGGAAGATGCTCGACTCCAATTCGAGTAGGCTTGGAGGTCTCGGCCCCGGAACCCGCGTGGCTTTGTCCCTCTGCCAGTACCTTCAGGTGTGCGGAGAGTGGTCTCAGCATGGTGGTGGCTGGTCCTGGAGGTCTCCGGCTGCCGTAGCCCTGGCCGGGGCGGGGAGGAAAGCTCAACCCGCTCCCCTCCAAGGGACTCCGGGAAGGAACACCGAGGCGCGGGGGCAGAGACTGCACTGCTCTCGTCCGGGATCACGTTTCACTCAAATGAGAGAAAAAATCCGGAGTTCTGACATCCATCGACGATCAAGAATCAGGGACGCTGTCTCATTTGCCAAGGTGTCGAAAATCAGATGGGCTGGTCACGTAATGAGATTTAAAGATGACTGCTGGACTAGAGCTGTTACCGACTAGATTCCATGGGATGTCAAAAGACCGCATGGCCGTCCACCTACCAGAGGGTCAGACTTCTTCATCAAGATCATGAATGATCGGTTTGAGGCTCTTCATGTTCCTGGAGCGAACAGATGCCATTGGGCTACACTAGCACGCGACAAGGACAAATGGAGACGTTACTGGCGCCTGCTCGAGCAAATCGACGACTAATGGGAAGTTAAGTGATTAAGTGATTATTATTCATACGGCTGGAGCGATAGCATAGCGGTAGGGCGTTCGCCTTACAAGCGGCCAACATGGCCGACCCGAGTTCGATTCCTCTGCCCCTCTCGGAGAGCCCGGCAAGCTACCGAGAGTATTCGATATGCCAGACACAGTAACAACAAAGTCTCCAATGGAGACGTTACTGGGCCCGCTCGAGCAAATCGACGATCAACGGGAGGGCCTTTACCTTTACCTACCATTACACAGAAATTTATTAGATTCTTTCCACATATAAGACCCTGAATTATACATAATTAGAAATACAAGTATAAAATATTGTCTTCTTAAAATTCAATCCCCAGCGGAGAGATAACTTAGACCAGAAAATCAGTTATGTTGTATCTTAAGAGTATTATAGACAAGAAAGGCAAGGAAGAGGGAAAGGAGTGTTGAGATTTGTACTTTGCCACAAAGGACCCAGAGAAATACTATCCATTAAGGCACAAGAAAATTGAAATAGGAAGGCACCAAGGGGGAAATCATTCAGATATATGAGGGAATAATATACACAGACAGCAGGACAACACACTCAACACTCTGAAGCTGGGGATGTGTTGGAGAATCTGGAGGCCATTAGTGAAATCACAGCGGGTAGGTAAAATAAGTAGATGATTAGGAACAAACTTGAGGAGAAGCTAGTTCAGATGCGGGCTTACACATAATGCTGAGGATTAAGGCTTTATTCTGGTGACAGAGATACTTATGGGGGATTTCAAAGTAAGAATGGCAAGGTCTGCTGACCATCATGAAAGGAGACTTGATGTTGTGTCAAGAATAGATGGGTTGACTCAAGGTGATGTAGAGCATGAAAATAGGAGGCTTTTGCAGCAATCTAGAAAAGACACAGGGAGTCTTACATTGGTGCTGCCCAGCTACAGGCAACCAGAGTGGGTCAGACTCAGTATGGGCTTTCCGGGACCCACACGTAGGATTGATTGATGGCTTGGGTGTGGACAATGAGAACATGCGAGAAATCAAGGATGACACCAACGTGTCACTTAACTATAAATACAGAATTTCTATTTTCTGAGATGGAACAGATTTAGGAGAAAAGATCAGGAGATTGAACTTGGGTTCATTAAGTCTTGGATGGCCAGAGGAAATGTTAAGAGGGTTCAGATATATGTGTCTAGAGTTCACAGGAGTATTTGGAATTGGAATCACACTTTCCAGAGCCTTCAACATAGCAATGCATTAAAATTCTAGGAACTAAGGGGCTCATTTAGCAAGAGAGTGTAGAAGGAGTAGAGCATTGAAATGCTTTGAATCTTGAAGCATTTAATTCGGGAGTTAAATATTAGTTATGCGTTGTTCGGAAAAAGAGTTGCTCAGACAGAAAAAGAGACTGTTGGGCATTTTGTCTGTAAAATATAAAGTATAGAAGTAGATTATGAAGAAAATGATCAGTCCATAAATTATATTTGCCTCTTCTGAAAGAGAAATAATTTAAAAAACCTAGGCTTAGTAAAGCAAGCCCCTTCTCTGACACAACCTTGATAGTCATGGTCAAGCCTAGAAGAAAAGTCAAAACAGTTTGCTGTTTAGACAGATTCACGACCAAATCTCCAAAGAGATGCAAGCCAAATGGCTAAAATGTATGGGTCTCCTGGCTGAAAACTCTCAGGTCTAGTTCCTGCCCTGCCAAAAGCCACAGCAGCTGCACCCTCATCCCACAGCTGCCAACAAGCCAACAGCCAAATCTGCTTCTTCTCAATTAATCTTTGCATAAACCAAACTGACAAAAATCCCAGGTAGACTGTTTTTCAGACTAAAAACTCTGGGATCTTCTGGGAGTGCAGGTAGACACTCTCCCTCCATCACCACATACTTCCAGAAATCCTGGCAGCCACAGTCACATCTGTGTCAACTCATCAGTCCAATTCTACATATTTTCCTGGAGGGCATGGCTAAATACATGTGACACTACCAAATTCCGTAATGCTGATACCCCAGTAAGAGCACACCAAGTTTGATAGGAAAGTAACAAGAACACAGAAGTCTCAACTAACTATAGTTCACTTAACCCTCAGAAAGGTTTTGATGACCCCATGGTCAGATATTACAATTTTCACAAATTTTTTCTTACTGGAGTATTTTTTGATAATTCTATTAACCATTTAGTTGTAATAAGAAATATAGGATAAACTATTTTGTGCCTTCTATGGGACAGGTATGAGGGATGGTTGGGAAAATGGGAGCATAGTGAAGGGAAGGTCACTCTGGTGATGGGATTGGTGTCAGAACATTGAATACTCATAACAACTGTATTATTAACAGCTTTGTAAAACATAGAATTTAAATAAAGTAAAAAATAGTTTGCTGTTTAACAGAGTCCTACATAGGACTAGTCTGGTAAGGCTTTTCTTTTGTTTTCTGTCATGTTCTATTACTGATCAGAGGCTTCTGGAAGAAAATGAATCCAAGTTTGAATTCAGTGGTGAATCTCAAGGGCATCTGAAGTCTGCTCACTAACTTGGTTTGTGATCAAATATCAAGTCATTTCTTTAAGGTTTGAACTCACTCACAGCTTCTGGAGATGTCAGTTTTACCCACAAGAACACCAAAACCTGGAAAGATTAGTTATTCAGACCAAAATCACATGGCAAGTCAGTGGATTTGAACTCTTGCATTCCCACTCCAGGGCTTAGCCTCTTAACCTTCCATGCTAGGCTGCCTATCACCACAGCACCCATTTGAGAGTGTTGGATCATGAATTTAACTGCACACACTCCAGGACGCTTTCCGGACCCGCGCGGCAGCTCCGGCCGAGACCCACGCACAACTGAAGACCCACAGAACAAGGTAAGCGGAACTCTCTGAGACCTTGGACTCCAGGCTCGGCGGACCCAGGGACAGAGCTTCTCTGCTTGCTCCCACCACCACAGGTGACAAAGGGATTCTAATCAGGAGCCCCACCCTACCCTGCCCTGTCTGCTTCCATCAACCACCCAGGGATCGAATTGTGCACAGGAGACCCACCCTACCCAGATAAATACCCCACTGGCAGACTTCCACTCTCGACACTACTTCCACTACCCAGCCGTCGCCACACTCCAGGACGCTTTCCGGACCCGCGCGGCAGCTCCGGCCGAGACCCACGCACAACTGAAGACCCACAGAACAAGGTAAGCGGAACTCTCTGAGACCTTGGACTCCAGGCTCGGCGGACCCAGGGACAGAGCTTCTCTGCTTGCTCCCACCACCACAGGTGACAAAGGGATTCTAATCAGGAGCCCCACCCTACCCTGCCCTGTCTGCTTCCATCAACCACCCAGGGATCGAATTGTGCACAGGAGACCCACCCTACCCACATAAATACCCCACTGGCAGACTTCCACTCTCGACACTACTTCCACTACCCAGCCGTCGCCACACTCCAGGACGCTTT